AAGTATAGAAGTCAAAGGAGAGTGTTGAGGGTGGGAACTGGTGGTGAAATGAAACTTACGTTTGAAAAAGTGGTTAATCAGTTAAGTCCTGATGAGGTGAAAGGAGTGGTTTTTCATTTTTGAGAAATACTGATGTCACCAAGAGGATCTGAGGATCTGGAAGAGAAGTACGAGTAAAAGCCAGGAGATGGCAGTAGTGCAACGTCTTTGGATGCAAGTTGCTGTTAAAAATGACAGAAGAAGAAGTTTGCTTGATCGTTCCTCAGCTCGTCTGTGTGAAGCTGAGTGTAAAGAGGCTCCTGCTGATAGAGAAACACTCTGACTGTTTCACAGAGTCAGACATGCTCAGACTGAATTTCAGTCAGAAACTCAGCATCACATTGATGAAGCTGCAGATTCATTGAGGTTAATTTCTGATTAATTTCTTTGCAACCAGCTGAAATTTAAATGTAATTTAAAAGAAGGATTGAAGGTTATTGAACCCAAAGATTTCACATGAACGTGTATGAATTGTATGATATGTCTCTTCTATTGTTCCATGATCATATTTTGATGTTGATTGTGATTGGTTTCATTTGATTCTTCATTGGTTGGAGTGTTTTAATGTTTAGATTGTCTTTTGTTCCATGTTGTAATTGTGTATAAAGTTTGATTTGAATGACAGTTACACTCAAATGCTTTCAGTGTTGCTGTGTTGAGTATTTGCATGTTTAATGTTTGTATGGAAGACACAGAAAGACATGTGACTAAAGGAATCTGTGCTAGAGGGACTTTTTAAACACATAGTAGAAAACAAAACAGATGTTGAATTCTTTAGAGAATTTTCTAAAAATCTTTATCTTTCTAAACAGAATCCAGAATATTAATGTTTGACATGGAAGCTGTTTCTACAGGATCCTGATGGACAAAATGTTCCCTCAATAGTTGTTTACAGCAGAAAATCAACCGATGTGAACCAAAACAACAAAAATGCACAAGTGGTGTGTGAGACTAGAAATGATAGAATCAGTGCTGCTGATTTCATTACTCTAAACTTTTAAAGGCAGGTTTTGTATCTGAGAGCAGGGACACTTGCTGTGTTCAGTGACTGTAAGTTCAGGCTACCCTTGATTTAGTTGCTAGATGTTTTTAAACTGTGTTTATTTTATAAGGCTCATTAAAAGCCATCTGAACTAGAGATGGACCGAGCCGATGTTGCATATCGGTATCAGTCCGATACTGACCTAAATTACTGGATCGTATATAAGTAATAAATAAAAAAAGATGTAATCCGATCTACTAAATATCACAAAAGCTCCTCAGAAAACTTGCGACATGGCGTAACCCAACACATGACCACATAGGAGCAGTGTGTGTCACGTGATAGAGCAGCTGTGGTGTGCGAGACCTGTCGGCGGTCTGGTGGAGCATTTGGAGCCTCGCGACGTGCTTCCAAACCAGCCGACGTGGTTTCTTACGGACTCATCTCAGACCCAAGACTTTGAAGGCTCGCCGGCTGTAAATCGTCTGTAATGAGACGCTTTGCATGTCTGAGCTGAAGTTTGTTATCAGTGTTTAAAAAGGCTGCATCTCTGATGGTTGGCATTAGATCAGTGCCTCTGGAATTGGCACCTTGCACATTTGGAAAGGAACCAAGACTGAATTATATACACAGGTTTTAGAGCAACATGTGCTCCCATGGAGATGATGTCTTTTACATGTTTAAGGAGGATGTTGCTAAGCTGCACACTACAGCAGGGCTTTGTAGTGGAAGACCGCAAGTCCTGAACCAGATATTTGATGATATTTGTGACATCACGAGAGGAAAAGCCGCAGGACTGTTGAGCAGCTCTGTCCCTTATATCAGACAAAAATGATGCTCTCCGAAAAGTCCAGCACCTGGTCTCCTCAGTTCCCAGGTGTTTATGGACGGTTGTTGAAAGTAGAGGTGATGTTGGAAACATGGCCATGCTGCAAGCTTTTTGGGATGTTGCTGCCACCAAATTCACAATGAGCTCATTTGTTTTCTATGTTGCGTTATGAGTAAAGTATGGGTTCATGAGATTTACAAACCATTCAATTTTATTTACATTTCACACAGTGTGTCAACATTTTGTCATAAAATAATATTAACAACAAGAAACACCAACAACAATAATAATAATTGCAGTGCTCTATTACAGTTTTTGCCCGTTGCCTGAACACATTTTGCAAAACTTTGCTCATTGTGCCAAAACCCTAAACACAAGTAAACATGACACAACACTGGGAAATATACCATACACATCTGCACCAAATTGAAACTCTATTCTCAAAACCTGACATTCCTTTGTCAAAATGTAACTCTGTTGACAAAATGACACATACTTGCATCATATGCAAACACTTACAGATCAGGGGGAACACACTAGTCTACTTTATATAAAGCACTGCAGTCTTTGATTTCCATTG